TCTCTCTTGCCTTAGATCTGAGTAAGGGCGCCTGCTTTGTTACAGGAGCAGTCTGGACTGAGTTTCAACTGAGAGAATTCAGCTGGCAAAGACAGACAGCACGCAGGGGAGTAAGACTGCCTATTGCTGCCAAGTATGGTGTTGCAGGCAAACTACAAAGCTTGCTGCTCATAAGTTACGCACTCAACAGGTAAATGTTGTATATTCAACACAGCTTTTATTCTCATTTGCACTGTGAAATGTATAGTTAAACTTTTGCTTGTTAATCTGGTCCATGGAAAGGAGAGCTTGCTTTTGCTGTGTTTCACATTAGTGATAAAATTTCTGTTCACTTCCGAGTTGGGTTGGGCTGTATTGGAAAAGTGACTTAGTTTGCAGTACAGAAATTTAGAAAAAGAAGAAAAAAAATGGTATTTTTGCCAATTCTATATAATTAATTTTTATCACAGTATCTCCAAGTACCTTACAAACCAGAGCACAGAGAATGGAAGTGACACAGCAGGGCAAAGCCAAAGCCAAGGGAACGCAGGTTTCCTCTGTCTGACACTCTCTACCAGTCTATCACATTTCTATCAAAGAGTCAGGAACATTTGAAATATTAAAAAACCGTAATACACAGTCTGTTTTGCATACAAATGCATGTATACAATCTTTAACTGGCTGTGTTTCGTGAAGATATCCTCCTGATCGTGAGGCAGGGAATGCTACATGATGAGTTTGTTAGCACGTTTACTGAAATACAACACCCACATGAGATTAGAAATGGGATCTGGACCAGTTTGCAAGCCAGTGAGTAACACCACCATGAATACTTCACACAATTTCTGCAGAACTTAAAAAAAATCAAAAGGCAGGGTCACATTGTTAACTTACTGAGTGAGCAGGCTGAACCACACTTGTAGCAAGTGACAGTTACTATGATTGTGTAATCAATGGCTGAAAAATAAATGCCAACTCAAATGACGATTCACTAGCAGAAACTTATGTGAATGAAAAATAGTAAAACTTTACAAATCTAAAACCTTCTAGTTTGGTGTGGTTTGTTTTTTAGGGTTTTTTTTTGTGTTTTGTTTGTAGTTTGTTTGTTTTTTTTAAAAAAAAGAGTAAAGAAATATTAAACTTTTACTGACAAGTTTTTAACGTTTAACGGATGTTCTAGTGGCATGAGTTACAGCTCTTAGGTGACAATTATAGTTGCTGCAATTTTGCCAGAAAAGTTCTAATTTTATGTCTAACGTCAGTTAAAACTTTATAATCTGTGACAATGCGCTTTTTCTGGGAGGCAAAGCTCACGGTATAGGCAAAAAGGCATCCAGTTTTAGGTGCTGTTCCAGTGATCTTCTGTGTGAAAATCCTGTTTGATTTTAACAGAGGGAAATGCTTTTGTTCTGACTCGTTTTTCTGAAGTACACAGTGTAATCATGAATTGTCTACCAATTTAGTACCTGCCTTTTAAGGCGTGATTATCAGTAGCCAGCTATCTTGGGAAATAAAGCTAATACAACCCTCAGTAAACATTTCTACAAATGATATACTGTGTTGGTAGAGAAGGACACTGCTGTTTACCATTTTGTAAGCTCACTCAAAATGAAAGCACTAGTTATCAACATGAATATTCACCAACTGGGAAATGGGGCCCATCATAGATTATTAACTACTAGCCCAGCAAATAACATTAAAACATTCTCCATCCTATGATTTAAATTTATTTTTCCTTGTATGAAGAATACTTTTTTCTTCTAAAGAACACATGGAAAGCTAATCAAGGGGTGAGAATCTTGACTCTCATCTGATTTCTCCAGCTCCCTCTACATTTCACAGTTAAATCAGCCTGTCTGGTTTGGTCAGGGTTGTGACCTGTGGTTTTTTTTCCACTCTAGTCAACTTACACATGCTAGAAAAGGCCTTAGCTTTGTTATTTGCTGGTATGAAATTGTTGGGGGAAACAAGTTTAGCCTAGATATTAAAAAAAAAAAAGAGGTTTCTGGGTTTTTTTCCTCAGTGTGAGTTTCTCTCTGTCAGAAAGCTTGCTGATATTAGCAGCAGAGCTACCAGGAACTCTTCATGAATTGTAAACAGTCTTGACTTTGTAACTTGTTGCAAGAACTAAACAAGATTTGTTTACTTTGTATCCTGAGATCAAATCTTGATCACAAGACATCAGATCGGATCAAAAGAAAGGTGCACATGCACTATCACCAGGTTGTTGAGAATACTTTTTCAGCATAAATCTTTATTCTGCACATTTTACTTTGTGACTCCCAGGAATCAGCTGGTTTAACCAAGGGAAAACAGTGTCCTTAAGAGAAGTTCTTAAGCTTGTCACTGCCTACTCCACCCAATCTATTACAAGCTACTGCTTATCTTATGTACTCACCCCTGCTGTCCCGAAGGCATGGAACACACACATCTAAGTACTCAGAAGGTTATACAGATGCTAATATTAAGGAGGCCCAGGGTCTAAAGCCTGTGCCAATGGAAATAATAATAATAATCTCAGTATTTTAAAGCTAGCTGAGATGTATTTTATAAAGTTAATAACTTATGGTGCTTGCTAATATTAAAGATATTTTTCATGTGAAAGCACAGGGGCCAAGAAAATAATTTCTTATTGCTCAGTAAGGGGATGAATAATGAAACAAAATATTTCATTGAACCTTCCCCTGCGAGAAATACCCTGGTAAAGTGTGCATGATTCTCCAACACATGCTGAGGTCAAAAAGCTGCTACTGCTTCACAGCTGCTGTCCCAGCTCCGGTAGAAGGGATTTGTGCTTTTGGTGCTCACGTGGAGTAAGGGTGCCAGATTTAAGCCTGCTGTTAACGCAGGATGCTTATATACACAGAGGCTTGATATGTTTGCCCACAGAATATCTTGAACAGAATACTATTAATCTAAGTCTCAGCTGTAGAACTTTACGAACTAATGTGTTTCTATTTAAAAATAAAGGTGGGTATTTGCTGTACGGAATTGGAGAAGATGTGGCTTACTTGGCTACTTGGCCTTTAGTGAAAGGGCCCAGAGTGTCCTGTGACTGAGAGGAAGAGAGGCTGAGGAGCTGCTGCGCCAGATCACCAACACAGCCACGCTGTCCCAGGAGAGGGAAAAGCTGCAAGTGTGGAATCCAGTCCCCAGAGAACTTGGACTTTTCAGTGCAGTTCATATAAAACATGTAAGACTTCTTGTGGAAACAAGTAAATAAAACACCTTTCCAGCTACTACATGGAGTAAAAATATTTTGCCAATTTAGCATAAAAATGAGGAATCACTTAGCCCAGAATTCATATAGAAATAAGTCAATTTTTTTTTAAAAGTATATTTTAAATCTGGCAGTTTTTCTACTGGAGTACTGTACATGATGTTTTCAAGAGATTCTAACCAGCAGAGTCACTGTTACAGAGCTAAAACTTACACTGTTTACATGCATACTGTTAACTGTCTAGATTTGACACAGATGAAAACTAAGATGCTGTTCCTTATTTTGTCAAAGAAGACCGGTCTACATTTCAACCCCCCTGATGTATAATTAAAAAAAAATCAGCATTAGAAGAACAAAAATGTTAAAATAGATTTTGAAATAAAAACAAGGCAGTACAGAATTATCAGTTTAGAGAAAAGCAGGTTCCTATACCTCCTTATTTAGAAGAAAGCAAGGTTGGTTAGTAACTTAATGGTTGAGATACAGCAGGTATTTTAACTCCCATTTAATTTAAAAACAAATGGAGTACAAGGTACCAGATATCAATATGATGCACATGCTATTTTGCTTGCAAACTTCAGCAGATCTAAAATTCCTGAAGCTATGTCTCCTCACTGAATCTACTGGTTCCTAATTAGGCCAAATGACTCTGTAAATTTGAGATGCGATCAGAAGTCCACAAAAGCCAGTCTCGTATTTCATAACAACTGCTAAATAGTTAGGAAATCTGACACTTCCATGGTTTTTTTCCATGCTTCATTTAAACTTTGATTAGCAAGACTGCTTTTATGAATTACCTACTGACATATTCATAAACTGGCTGGGGAAAACATACAGGTTTTGTTACAGTGCAATTTAGGATCTTATGTACACCTCAGAGTCTGGAGCTATGGCATTTCTCCAACATATTTCACAGTTCCCACAGTTAATACAGTACTGCAAAATAGCACTAAAGTGCATAAGTATCTGAACGTTTGTTGGGCTTAAAGGTGCTGTGCAAGCTTAAGCTACTGCTTTGCCTTTATATACATATATATGATGATCATTTTTCTTTGGAGAGGGGATACTAGTTCTAGAATGCCACCGATTTTAATTTGAATGGAGGATTGTCTACCTTTCACCTTTCTAGAAGATGTAAATGCCCCCTGTCTGACTCTTCTGTTTGTCAAGAACAATAAAAGACAAAATAGCACACTAAACATGTGTTTCAAGGTAATTCATCAGGAATGGTTGGGTTTTTTTAAAGGAAGAATACAAGGTAGGCCAGATGAAAAGCAGACATGCTCTTTGTAACTAGCTATGGATCTTCTGTTCAAATGAACATGCTGTTCATTTTTATCAAAACATGAGTACTAAACTACCATAAATAAAATACATACAGTAAAGAACAATTAAAACTTTTTTGTACAGTAGTTACTTTTACATTAAACTTATCATCTTTTCAGATATGTTGAAAATTAGGACTCTAAACATGACTACTTCAAAGTATCATTTTTAACAATCTTGCACAGGCCCGACAATCAAAAACATGAAGCTTTGATTCAGATAGCTTGGCAGGTCTCGCATACTTTGATAGGTAGGCTACTCTGAAATACGCTGGGTGTGGTTTTCACTTACATGTTTTATTTCTATCAAAAGACAGTTTGTTTATTTTTATTTAAATCTTTACATGAGCTGTTTTTGTGCAATACCACTGCCAGTGTAGCTTAAGAAAACAAAATATGTCTGCGACATTGACTATGGTCCAAGTGTTGTCTACCTCCTTAAAAAAGTAAGATTCTAGGAAATTCAGTGTGAGTGCATTCTAATACAGGAAGTCAGTCCTAGAATAATTTAAATATTAAACAGGTACCGTTTCTACCACTGGTGATTTGATGCACTCCTCATGCAGTCTGCTCTTTTCTGGGAGGTTTAGTGAATTCTCAGCAGGGTGCTCTTGTACGCGACTGTCGCCATTCAGAGCCGAAACAAAGCCATCTTGAGAAGGACCCTTCAAATATGAGTGAAATTCCACTTGGGGGTGACTTGGCCTATGCTCAGCATATAAACTGTTACAAGGAGCACTGCTGTCACCTTCAGATGAAGAGCAGCACACAATCACTGAGGGGTTTGCAGAAGGGTAATGATGGCCGCTAAAAGTTTCCTCTGATTGCCGTGTGTAGTCAACAAACTGTTCTGAAGTCATGTTGTAAGGCACCAGAGAAAGACTACCGTTCTTGACAGCATCCCTTTCTGAATATGTCTCGCCGATCTGGTTAGCAGTGCCAGCAATGTGGTTCTCTATTTGGTAATACAGATTTGAAGCGTTAGTATAGTATGAGGCATTTTTAGAGTGGTTTTCATGCACAGCAGTTCCGTCAGAGTAGCAAAGGACAGAAGGAAGAGGCACCATATCAGCATGGGAGCTCATGCTTTCTACAAAATCATCCACTTTTTCTTCCTCATCATCTTCCTCCTCATCTTCCTCTTCCTGTTCATCATCATCCGATTCGCTAGGGGCTAAACTCTGTGTGCTAGAATCTGTAGCTCCACTACAAAAGCTACTGCCATCTTCCTCTTCCTCCTCTTCCCCTGGGCAGTCCAAGTCCTCGGCCGACTGAGAATGCATGACTGCAGCTGGAGGTTCAGTTTCGATCTCAAAATTTTCTGCAATTGAATACTCAACCGGGTGGGGTCCTGGACCCACAGAACTAGTGTGTGCACTTATCTCACCGTGGCAGCCATTCAGGGCTGGAACTTGGTGCTCTCTGTTTTTCTCCAACTCAAGTTTCATTATCGTGTGCAAAAAGTGAGTCCGTACACGGATAGGGTTAAATTCAATTCTGCCTGCTGTATTGCTACAGCCTTCTTTAGTGCAACCACATGGAAAGGACATACGATCCACCTTGTAAAAAAAAGAACACAGATTAACAATGTGTAGCATGAGCCTGGTGCTAGGACAGAGCCCAGACAGCCTAGAGAAATACAGCGGTGAAGTGGGATTCACCTTGAGAAGTACTTGTAAGTAACAGTAATTCAGAGGGTTCGCCCTGGAATTTAGCACTACTGCTAGGAGCAGGAAGGGACCCATACACGTAACAGTGTTGCAGAGTAGGAAAAATCTATTTCTGTTACATAGGTGAAAGCACTATACAGGGGCACAAAAAAAAATAGGTTGTTTTTCTGTTTATGGATCTGCTACAGCTTTACTTCATGTTGTGCTCAAATAAAAAAGAATAAAAAATAAAATTAGGAAAAAAAAATCAAAAGCATTACCAGACTCTTAAAATTTGGTAAAAAAATAACTGAAAGTAGAAACTTACTGAAACAAAATAATTGTACATAAAAATCTTTATTAAGTTGCCAATGGGGACACCTCATCACAGAAAGTAGGAAAAAAACTCCAGTGCATTTGGAAAGATACTGCAGTCAATTACAGGGGCACTATTGTAAGGTCAACAGACTTGGGTCAACAAGACTGTGGGCAGAACATCTCTAGCCACCTTACAGTTCTAACAAATGTGACTGAATCCACACGTCCCATAGTTCAATCAGAGAGTTGAAGGTCTAAGGTTTTAATCTACACTGTAATCAAATATGATGCAGTGGAGAACCATATAACGCAATCCGGTACCTCTTCCCCACACATGAAAATGGGAACAGGAACAGCAAAGAGAAGGGCAGAGAAAGTTTAGCTTGGATTAAGAAGTGATGAAGAAATCAACTCAGCTGCATAACAGTGACTCAGGAGAACTAGAGGAAACATCTTTTAGGGAACATTTTGGGACATCCACAACTGTACGTGGGTCACTATGTACATGTACAATACGAAATACCTTTGCAGTCTGCAAAGGAAAAGCTACCTGCTGTTATAGCACATGTATTTTTCATTGCCTACGTGCAAATTTTTCATGCAGGTATTTTAATTTTCATGCATGTTAAATAAAGGGCAGTACCACAAAGTCTCATTTCTTGATTCTCATTGACTTTGGACTACAATTCATGTTTGGACAGTATGAGAATTATCTCTAAAATAAAAGGTAAAATCCTTTCTGAAGTTTGCAGGCTACTGATTTTCCATTGTCTGCACCTGCATATTTATATAAAGGCCTAAGAAGAATACGAGGAGCAGAATATTTGCGTAAGAACAAAAAAAAGTCATCATAAAATAAAGAAAGATGTCTAAGGAAACTGTACTGCAAACCATACACTCTTAAATCTGGGCCTTAAAAAAGCTGGTTTGAGATCCACAAGCGTTTTTGTCCAGTAATTAACTTATTTCCTGTAGTGATAACTTTAACAACAAAAAGTGCATGCGTGTGCATGCACACACTCCCTCCCCTGCCCTTGATAGTTAAATAACGACAACAGCACAAACATTTACCTGGCACTTTATGCCTGCGAGACTGCAAGTGCAGGTTTCTGGATCACAGAACACACGGCAGTCACAGCCACAGTCCTCTCTGGACAGGCGGATGGCTCGCAGCTCGTGTTTTTCTTCCACATCAATCTTCTTCACTCCAGAAGCTCGCAGCAATGCCCTCCGCTTCTTTGTTGGCAGGGGTTGTAGGAAGAAGTACTCATCTACTTCAGTGTTGTCCAGGTCAATATCATCATCAGAAATGTCATCCAGCGTCAGGGTGTTGGCTTCTTCAGATTCCACTGTACCATTCTTTGTCATCTGTTGCACAGAACAATTATTAACAAAGTCCTTAAATGCTACTCCTACACACACACACAGGTATCTATACATGTAAATATGTGTAATGCATTATGAATATGGAATGCTGTATGTAAAAATGCTGCACGCCTGGCAGTAAGTTCCAGAATATGATTCCACATGGGGTGAAAAGACAGTTCTTTACATTTGACATGGGAGTTACATACACATTTTTAGTTTCTCGTTTGTCACGAAGCTTGGTTTGTTCCCTGAGTTTCTAAATTCTGATCTGTTATGTCCTTTATTATTTGTCGTCGTTTGCCAGATCTCATGCCTTTCTAAAATTCTCATTTTTCTTTATGTATTGTTTCATAAGATAATTTTTGAGCCCTTAATTGATTCTAGTTTCTGTCTCTGGGCTCGTTGAAATTCTTCAATATTCTTTTTGAGATAATAATAATACGACCAACACTGTTTCAGATTACGATGCATCACAGATTTGTAAAATGGTGCATTTTATGTACTGCTCACTGCCCTGTTTCTCTTTAGCTTGACAAGCCGGTTGATGTCTGTACAGCTGAGGTCACAAAGAAGTATATCCACTGTACTGGTGGCGCAGATGCCTGTATTTGCTGCTTAAATTGGCAATTTTAAGCCTGGAAGTCGCTTAACTTTGCCCCTTTGTACCTACACTAGTTCACATTTATTTGCAATGCATTTCACAGTGCTGATGCATATGTGTCTTCTGAAGCTCTTTCCAGTCCTCCTTGATCCTGAAAATAACCCATGTAAGCTTTGTGTTGTCATAGATTTTAGTACCTGACTCACCAGTCCAGATTATTCTTAGGTAATTACTGAATCAATACACTTAGAAAAAAATGGAAAGAAGTTATTAACCTCTTGTGAAGGATCTTGAGAAAAGTTTTCAGAGGATTTGTGCTCCTCCCTAGGTATATGAATTTTTGAGCCTCTGTAGGTAGAAGTATCCTGGCACTATATTATTACCTATGTATAGTCCAGCTTTCAAACCTTTCAAAATCTGTTTCAAAATTAAATGGCCATGAGCATCAAGCACAAACCTCCAGTGCGACTTTCAAAAGACAATGCATTTCTGTACCATGCTCCTGTAACTCACCTCATATACAAAGAGGTATGTATATATATACACCTATATATATACCTATATATACATATATTCAAGCAGAAAAGGAAAAAAAAATACTGCTGAAGGAAGGTTAAGTCTCAAGTCTTATTTGCATTAACTGTTTCATCATGAGCACCACCATGACCTCAGGAAAATGTCCCCCAGTGAATGTAATTTGAATGTTTCTTACCCAGAGAAAAACAGCCATTCAAATTCTTTCTCTGTTTTGCCTTTTCTACTTGCAGAACATTTTTGCTTGGCCTGTTATCCCAAATAAATTTTTAGACACCAGTTTTAAATACAGATAAAATACTGAAGTCAGAACTACCAATGCCTTTTTCTTGTGCATTTCAGTGTTCAGACAGTTAATAATTATCACTGTAAAGGTAACTCCCTGTTTTTCTGCTACTAAATCCTGTTGTCTCCATCTAGCTATGCTTCTCATGTGTAAGCAAGCAGTCCTGAATCTTACCCATTTCACTATTTCTGCTTTTATTTTATTTCCAACTGTTTCATTTTCCCATTTACATTAAGAGTTTGCCCTTTCCACCATCTTTTGGATTGTAACTGCCATTTATGGCATTAACGAGTTACTTGAGAGTGAACTCCTACTGACTGCTTACTCCTTTTTGTAACGGTAGTTTTGTGTTTATAACAACTGTGTAATACAGTAACAGAAAAAAACCCACCCTAATGATTCCTGACATACAAAGTCAGATTAAAAGCAATACTTTTCCCTTAGAAGGAGAAGAGTCTCAGTGTCATGGCTGGCAGTCCTTACATACAGTGTGCACATACACATTACACTGCACAAAGAGAAATTCTCCTGAGATCAGCAATCATGCCCTCTTAGTAATTCAGCACCGTATTTAGCTCATGCAGATGCGTTCTGCCACTTCCACAACTCTGCTTTATAGGCTTTATTGTTTCCTTCTCTTTCCAATGTATTCTCAATCTTTCTCTGTAACTGCTGCCTTCGGAGTTTAAAGCCCTCATTTTATGTCATGGTTCAGTTTACTTATCATGTCTGTTATCCCTAAAACATTCAGATCCCTTTCAGTGAATACACTTCTAGCTATTTCTTCATCCTAAATGCAGTATTTTCAAAATGTCCTCTCAAACTTCCTTCAGATTGTTTTCTTACTCTATTGTCTACTATTCATTTCACTTCACAGTAGCTAGGAAATTAGAGGGTTATAGCTCCCTAACCAGTTCTACCTTTCCCTGGGACAATGGAGACATTATTTACACCAGGTATTTCAACGTATTAGTTCAGTAAGGTGGGAAACACAACATCTGAAGTCATCCTTTTTCTGTATAATTTACAGTGAGAGACAGGTAAATCCACAGAATAACTAAATGCATCCTGATTTAGCTGTCTGAAGGCAGTGGGAGGGAATACTCCACTGGACATGGAATTCAGCCTGAATCTTCAAATCCAGAATAGCATCCTTGGTTTTTTAATACATTTTTCATTTTTCTGTTAGCTGGGTGCAGCTGAATACAGTGCATTTATGTTTCTTTGCTTTCTTTTTACATATTTTGGATGATCCTTATGGTCCCTTCCAACCTCGTATTCTATGATTTAATATATATATAAATATATATATAATACATATATATACATTAGAAGAATGACCTACCTAAGAATTCTGATTTCTCTGGTTCTAAATACACGAAGCTTAAAACACTTGTTAAACACAGTTATTTAATTGCCTACCAGAATTTAAGTTTGAAACTAAGGAAGGGGAAGAATTATAATCCCTGTTTCTGTAATTATTTTAGTATTTTATTCAATTACTATTTAATAAAAATTACACTTTTGGGATTTTACCCATGAGGCGAATGCTGTAACTGCTCAGCTTAAAAAGGCACCTACAGAACCATAGCAAACTCGTCATGTATTTCTCCTCCTCCTCCTGCACATCCTGACCACCAAGGAGCGGGCTCCAGCCACGTGCTGAATGCTGTCTGCATCCAGCAGGCTGGGAAGGCAAATGCCTGGGCATTGCATGTGGTCAGACAGCAATTAGGCATTCCAAAGCACCTTAGCTCCTGACTCCTTTGCTGGATGTCTTCCTTGTTGTCTCCTCTGGTTTTTGTTCTCAATTTTATCACACAAAGTAAAAATGAACTAATGCAATGAAAGATTTGAACATTTCTCAAACAAGTAGCAGGATAACTACAGGGGGAGGAAGATTATCCAGAACTATCAAATACATTTTCCAATACAGAACTTCAGGGGAACATTAAGTTCTCTTGATTGTCATAATATTGCTCATCTGAACTAAACTTGATATGTAGATGAGTAAAAATTTCTCTCACAAAGCTAAAGGTTAATGTCATAACGACAGAACAAGGCAAGGACCGATGTTCTGTGAAGCCTTTGGGTGAAATTCACTTCAGCTCCATAAAATGTGAAAAATTCTGGTTTGACAACTTTGCCTGCCCTAGCTGGAAATTATTGCCTACAAGTTCCCACAAAGGAAACCAATCAACTGTGTCCACAGATGTGGAAGCCTTAACATCACTTGGGCCATGCTAATAATTTTAACAGATCTTTACTGGAAGAGGCATTCTGGGTAAGCCATAAGGACTGTTCCAGCTCATTTATTGTGCTTACTCATGTATCCGCAAACGACACCGTACTAAAGCCCACCTTGTACTTTCATCTTGACAAGATGGCTTTCATGTCCAGACTGCCAGGAGAGTATTCACACTCTGCTGCTAACAAACAACTGTTTATGCCGCTGTCAGCAGTGTTTTACCGTGCTGCTGGTGCTAAACGGCTGAAGTGATTCGAAGATGATTTTAAAGTCGTTATCCGCTTTTAATTAAGAGAAGTTTCTTATTTGGATCTTCACACTTGCAAGTAAAATAATATACTGTACATTATGAAGACTCAATTCCAGTATCTTCCAATATTAACAAATTCTACAAGAGATAATCCTTTCTACCTACAGACTTGCATATTTTAATCCAGATCAAAAAACTTTAAAAATGAGGAAATAGAAATTTAAAAAAATGTTACTTTCTGTTTGCATAATAGCTTTCAAAGAAAAAAGCCTTTTGGAGCAAACTTCGCCCTCCTTCATTTTCTCATTTTATTCATTTTTCTGTGCAGATTTACATAATTTTAATGCAAATCCTGATTAGTCCATTTTCATTAAAGATCACAATTGCTGACATTGTCACCTTAGAACGCTAGAGCATTTTCTTTCTGTGTTCCTTTAGAAACCATGCGAATGATCAAGCAGCTCTTCCATCTCTATAGTGGGAAATCAGCAAGGCCCAGTTGTCTCAAGCAAATAAAACATGCTCAGTGCTTTACAGTGACTCTTTGCTAACTCAGTAAGTCCTGGACTTGCTTTTGGGAGGAAAAGTAGTTTTTATTTTATTTTTTCACCCCAAGTGTCTAATCAGAGAGGCAACTAAGCTGAATTTAATGGACTAGTTCAAAAAGGAAGTTTTCTGTTCCCTATGTTTTTATACATGTGCTAGAGTGAAGATAAATATTTTATCTAGTAAAAGACTTAACACTTGAAAGATGTCACCATTTTTAAGTCACTTTCAGGATTCTGGAGACCTAACCACAATATTTTCATATTTGAATTGAAACTTTGGAGTCAGCTTACCAGTCTCAGAACATGCCAGTAAACTATTCCCACATCACTGCTGAGGATCAATCCCATCACTGATTAATTAAGTTTATGGTAAAAGGAAACAGTGAAAACTAGGACACAGGGAGGAATGCAAATCAGGGTTTCCTTATTTACTGAATACTTTCAAAGAGATTTTGCAGGAACTTCAGTCACATCAAAGGTTATCATCCACTCAAACTAGTGACAGGGGAAGAACATATATTTGGAAAAGCAGCAGGAAGTGGGGTCTATGTCCCAAAAAGAGAGTGGGCTGGAGTGAAGTAAGTAAGATAACGAAGAAAGAAAATCCATCCCAGCCAAGAGATTTATGAAAGCACAAAGATCCAAGCTCTGCTCCATACAGATGGAGGCTAAAAGGCCTCATCCAACCTTTAGAGCTAAACAGGATGTGAGTTTTCTTGACTTACTGTCTAGCTATAAAAAAAAAAAAAGGGAAAAGTGAAATATTTCTATGTCTTACTCTTCTTTACTCACTGCACTGGGGATTCCTCTCTTTAAGCTGATTCCTGGAAGTCAGCCAAGGTATCTACACAGAGCCATTGGTTACACTGACTCTGTTCAATTCGCACCTGATGCTCTGAAGATCCTGTGATGCGAGAAGTTCAGAGGCAAATCCCATGATACGTCACTAACACCCTAGCCTTTGGTTTCCAACCTGTCTAAATATCTGCCTTTAATCTGCCTTTGTCCTGAGTGGATTTATGTTTGTTTGTTTTCATTATGATGGTTCAAATTTTATGAACTCAAGTTGGTCATGAAAATAAGCTGTTATACTTTCTGTATTTAGGATGTTACCATTCCCTTGTCTAACAGGGCACTGTGCCAGGCCTCAGACAGCTCATTCTCTCCCTGGCACTTCCAGACTTCTGCTGGACACCCTGTTCAAGGCCAACTTCCACCACTTCCTGCCTTTGTTTTCATCTGTGTAGAAAACTGGCACTTTGAGGGACGCATCAATAAGAGCTACAACAGCACCTGGTAGTATTGTACAAAATAAATCTCCAGTAAAATAAAATTTCATAAAAAGTAATGGCATTTTTTTCAATTGAAAATGGAGCTGATAGAAAGGAAATGGGTTTTTTTAAAATGCACAAACATTGGGCCCATATAGCTCTGACACTGCTCTTTTGAATAAATAAGGCAGGGATCAAAGACTCAAACAATTTTTACCTTCAGTTTTAAAGAATTGAGTTTTTCCTCCCTTAGATGCTCTCTTAACATTTCTCGGTGAAGCCTCTCCTGTTCCATCGCGAACTCTCCAAGCGTGTATTGGCGCACACTGTTGTGCCGCGTCGACATTCCCAGCGTGCTTCCCCCTTGGCTGGGAACACTGGTGAAGCCTTGTCTTCTTGTGAAGTAATACACAGTAACACAGTTGAAATGGACATTTTTTGTTCTCTTCCGCTTCTCTCTCTTCAGGATTGATGAAGCTAGAACAGAAGCAGATTACAGTGTGAATGGCAACTTGCAGTCATATTGCAAACCTGTCTCCTGTGTAGTTCCATTCACCTTAGCAATATCTGACTGTGTACACGGGTTCCAAGGTGTGCAGTCTAAATGAGGAGATAATATTGTAAATATTCACCGTATATGCAAACCTAGAAGCCACTACAAACTGCTACAGTAATGAACACTATTGTCTACGTTACACCAGAAATTCTTGGCCAGGCCAGTTGTGTTTTCCCATAGCATTACAAAAATGTGTTATCCTTTTACCAAGCAAGCAAACAAATCCCAGCAAAAGTAACTTCTCCCACAGGGTCACCTCAAAGACTCAAAGATCGCTATCCACTGACTGCTCCTCTTCAAACTCCTGCAAACAAAACAACGCTGCATAGGACAGCAGCGAGAAGAGGGATGCGGTCTCTCACAGGTCTGTATATGCTGTTACTATTTTGTCAGCAGGGCTTAGCTGTAGAGATCTTTAACTACATCTTTGAAGCACTGGATCACATAGGCAGAAAAGACTCCTATCTCTTATCTAAAATGTGAGAAATTAGTGTTAGAAAAACTATAAGAACAACATGCTTCGAGTTTCAGGCTGTCTCAGAAATTCAGACCAGCAGCAGCAGCAGCAGCACAGAATAATATGGGAATAATGCTTATTAACAATCATATTCACTTCCTTTTTCTTTATCTTCATCCTTCTTCCTGCTGCCACCCACTGAGTACACAAATGTATATGTAAATATACATTCTAAGGTGTAGAATTTTGACAAAAAATCAAATCTAGTCTTTTCTAATTATTTTCTGATTCTACTCACACTAACAGTTTTTGTTATACACATACGCAGCATCGTAGGAAATGAATCTGTTTAAAAACAAATGCAAATTTTAACTGTCAGATGTTGTTCATCTACAGACATTTAGTAACTCCTTCCAAAGATACTGATCTATTGTTTCTCACTGGTAGCAGTAGTGAGCCTTTAGAGAAATAAAAGACACAAATGTTAGAGAAAGATAAGAGATACTCCTTGATTTTTATGATGAGCAGCCTGATTTATTTGATTTATTGCAAAATGGGAATAGGATGTTGAGAATGCAGACAGAAAGTCGTTGCTTTGTAGTTTACAGGTAATGGTTGGGCAGGTGTGAATGAGAGACCTAACTGCAGGAATTCAGGCAGTAAAATGATTTAAAAGGTGCCTGACCACTCTTGAAGGACTCGGAACCATTCTATAAGAACAGTAAGAGCGACATGATGCACGCTGCTCACCTACAATTGCACAGTCTCGAGAGACTGGAAGCACCTGGCATTCAGCCTCAGTTTTGCAACAGCTCTGCTTTGTCACCACAGTTAAAACATAGTTCATTCTCTACTATTATGACGTAGTGAAATGTTAATCGCTACAAAGGTAAAACCTCAGAACTTCTACATGAAGTAATTCAGTCCAAAAAACAGCACAATCTACATGAATATGTGAAAAAAGTGTATTAGAAAAAGCATATTAGTATATCAGGAAATCTAATCCAGTAGGACGTCCTGCTGACGTAATCATAAAACTATTCAGGGCTCAGTGAAAAAAAAAAGTCTTATTTTTCCTACATACTGATAAGCACCTAAAAGCACGGGTTTTTATACAAATAACATGCACTTCTTCAGATACGCTACAGGTATGTTAGATCATAAAGATAAAACAGATACTTAAACCCAGGTCCTATATTCACTTACATGCTCTCAGTGAAGGGTGTTCCAAAACAGGTATAGGATATGAATTTAGGAATCAAAACCCAAATTCTGTTACATTAGGCATACTTAAACAAACCTCGTATCAACAGAGCCTGTCAAAACTATTTCTAGAAGCTTTTAGTGGGGGAAGGGGGCTATTGTGTTAGAAGACACTAGGGGTGTGTCAATTTTGCATGATATTAAAGGTTTTTAATCTTATGTTCTTTTTCATATATGCCACAGTTTCAAAGCAAAACTATCTTTAATAAAATCAAACCTTTCAAGTTTGGAAGATGGGGTAATTTTGACATTATAACATTCTCTTTCAATTTAGCATGACAGCAAATACTCTCGCTGCCTATATGCCCTTACACAAAGGGAAGTGCAGATGAAAAACCTTGCTGAAGGAGGTACCCAAACCATTATGGGCCATGGCTACATTTCTGATGTAACAGCAGTGATGTCACCTGGATTTCAACTGGGTCTTGCCTCTGTTTCAGAAGAGACATTGACAGCTACTGAAGGACAAACAGCTTCTTTACCAAGTAAAAGAACCAGCCACAAATGGAATGAGATAAAACTGTAGTAAAATATTAAAAGGAGAAAAAGATAGGTTAACCTTAAATACACATATACACACATACTTCATTAGGAAATAGAAAGTATTTGTGCTGTAAATAGCACAGGCGAGCGAATGCCTTTGAATCTTCATCTGTAAACTTCAGTATCTACCACATAACATCTACATTTGTATTAATGTATTTTAGACCTTAGCTATGAAAGTCCTGACTGGCTGCTTACTGGTAGAAACACCAAATGCTGCAATAAAAGCGCTTCCATTTTTATAAAGTCTGTCAGTCTCTTTATGGAAGCTGAATCTTACGACTTTCTATGCATAAGAAATCAATCTTAAGTTTTAGTCACACACTACAGACTAATATTAAATAGTGAAATGAAGCTAGGCAGAAGACTGTAATCTAACTACATCCAGCTGGGAAAAAAATAAATAATCACAGAATCATAGAATGCCAGGTGGAAGGGACCACAAGGATCACCCAGTCCAACCTCTCGAGGTGAAAGTACAGTTTAAATGAGATCAGTCAGCACCCTGTCAAGCTGACTCAGAACTGACCAGTGCAGGGGAATTCACCACTTCCCCTGGAGATTGTTCAATGTCTGATTGATCTCATGGTAGATAAACTTCTTCTGGAGTTCAGTTGGAATGTCTCCAGAAGCAACTTGTGTCCATTGCCCCTCGTCTTCTTCATGTGTCTCCTTGTGAAAAGAGAATCTCCATCTTCTTGGCAGCCCCCCTTTATGTACTGGTACAGGGTAATAAGGTCCCCAGTAAGTCTTCCCAAGGCTGAACAGGCCCAGTTTTCTCAGCCTTTCTCAGCCTAATCCATGATAAAAACTAGATTACATGAATGAGCTTTTCCACTGTGTGGATTTTTGGGGAGAGGTGGGTGTGCTCATGTGTGTGCTATCAAAATTTAGAACATGAATTTCATACATTGCCATACATTTATGCCTAAACTTCGATCAGCAGTCTCTGTCAGTTGTCATGAGCTGTCTTAAAGAGCCCATTAATGCATTTCTTCGACTTTTTTATAGTTCTTAGCACTTTTAGTAATTAAATTATCAGGGTCGCACCATCAAAGTTGTTTGTTTGGGGATTTCTGATACATCACTGACAAAAACTGCGTTAAAATAGAACTGAGCTGAACTTCAACAAAATGCTGGCACACTGCAACTGCAGCAGCACCAGCACTGTAAATCCAGCACGGTACAGCTGTACTGAAGACAGCGCGAGAGCTGACATGCATTTGTTGTAAATATCATTAAAATTCATGGGTTTATTTATTAACGTTATAGTTGCTAGTCAGACAAATTATATGACAATCTGTATAAGCAAACAAGCAGGTAAATATTCAGAGCCTTCAGATCACATGTGATTATTTTTTTCTGAAATACATCCTATCTTTGGGGTTTGATTCTCTCTCACCCGAGAGCTCATTAAAGGGAACAGCGAAGGGTCTGTGAATAACTCTGTAGTAATCTCTTCTGTGTTTCTGCTAGGAAGCAGTCAGAATATATTCATATTTATGAGAATGTTGTTCAGAGGAACAGACCAGGCAGAAACTGCAAAAGATTACAGGATTTTATTTGATTACCCATAAGCATAGATCAGAGATGTTGGTGAGGGGACTGGAGAATTGCAACCACTGCAGTAACCAAGGACAAGAAGGGAAGCAGAGTCAGCACCGCAAAGGCACTGTGCTCTTGCTCTACTTTGCTTCCTAAAATCTCTGAGCAGAGGGCTGCCTTAAAGTGACCTAAAAAAATATTATTAGCTATTAAAAGGAAAAGTTGAACATTTTCCAACATCAGGGACAAAGTGCTCTATAACTCATTCAGTCCTTTTGCTTCAAGCCAAACAGAACCCCGATTCTCAGATCATCTTTATCAAGAGTCAGAGGCACACGTTATTTTGTATGCACTGCACCTTAAATAGTACGTTCAAATCAGTTGTAATTACTGCTCAGGACACTGCTTAACTCGAGAGAGAGCAGAAGGACATATAAAATGTGTACTTTCTGATAGATCAGAAAGCATAAACATGGTTCCCAGACAAAACTTACTGACATTTATGCATTGGTAAGCTCTTTTCAGCATGGGGGGACAGACTGTGCAAGGCTTGCATGCCTCTTTGGAGTCCATTTCAAAGGTTTTGCACAGGAGCAAAAGCTCATAACCTAAAGATTTATCCAAAGAGAGTGAAAACATCACACTTTTCCAGAAGAGATCTAATAACGGCTTCCTTGCTTGGCCAGTCTCAAAACAGCATTAACGTGCCATCTGCCTGTGCAACAAGTGCTATCAGTGGATGCCACTATCATCTGTTCTGCGCAAAAAGGGCACGTTGACTCCGCTAGGCAGAGATGTGCTGGTTTAGCACCTGCTGGATGCACACCATCCACAGGAACTAGAAGGTGGTTTTTGAAAACAAACACCACTATCTTGGGGTCCAGCAGCTCATGGCGAGCAAGACTGCCAGAGGGAATAGGAATATCCATAATTACTTAAAACTGGCCTATGGATCACACAGGATTTTTAACACATTTATATACTACAAGTCTGATACATTCCATGAAGGGAAAAAATACTCCATCCGCTTGTATTTAAACAGTTCATGTAATTTTTAATTCCACACTTCAATACTATATGGAATTCAGTATTTTTTACAGATATAGAAGTACT